CAAACTTAAAAATAGTTCCTTAATAATGAAAACTTTTTCCTCTCAAAAATCGAACGAACCATTACTGCCATGTTTAAAGCGGCTTATTTAGGTTCCTCCATCCTTTTATTCTTTCTTTTTATTAATAAAATAACCGGCCCATAATATAACAGTTTGCTCGCTAAGTACACAAAAGAAAGGGGAAGATTTTAAATGTCTCGCTTCATCAAAGGTCTGGAACTAAATAAATTTTCTTCAAAAACATTTACTTTTTTAGCAATAAAATGACACCTTCTTTTACACCCTGCAATCTTACTTTGCCAAAGAGAGAAGAGGACCTTAATCATAGAGCGCAAACCTTAAGTTTTTGATAACTGAAACTTTATTTGTTTAACAATGAAGAAATCTTGAACGAAATAAAGAATGGCACTGATTTGCAGGCGGATTTAATGGAATATATCAATTTAGAAATTTGATTTTTTTTTTATTATTACGATGTTAAATTGAATATGTATAAAGTAAAAAAAAACCCATCGGTGTTTCTTTGAAAGTTTATTCTTGCTCTTATTTTTTTGTTCATATTTTTACTATTCGTTTATTGAATGCAAATGAATAATTTTTTAATTTATTTTGAGGTTCAATTAGCTGCATCTCAATTCATTTATCCAGTTTTTGTTTAAAAAAGAAAGATAGAGTTTCATTAAAAATGTATTTTTTGTATATATACTCTTTAGATTATTCAAATATTTGTTCAGATCTTAAAATTTAATTTCTTATAATTTATTTGAGTAAATGTAATTTGTCATTTAGAAACATCTTTATTTATTTTTTCATGAGTTTCCTGCAGTAAGATACTTAAATGGTGTGTAGTTCCCTCTAAATGTCATCCCTTAAGGCACTACCCGCCTTATTCAGGCGTTACGGAGACAAGTCAAAATTTCTACCTACAGGTACTCCACCACAATAGAAGCTTCCCCCGTTTCCCTCCGTCCATGAGACCACACGGGTTCTTCGACTTGGTCTAGATGTTGCTGTTTACAAAGTGGTATAAGAAACAACAACAGCAAACAATGCATTTTTAAGCCAAATTACAAATTATGAAATGTTTAATTTATAAAAGTTTCAAAATACTTATATATTATGTATACCCATTTTAAACCTTAAAATCTGAAAGTTACTTATTTTGACTTTTAAAATCCATAAGCACAGTATTTCATTTTGTAACCTCACCTTTTAACTGTTATTTTGTGAATAATTACAAATTAAATGTAATTATCTGCTCTAAAATTTCAATAATTGCAGAATTCAAGTAAAAAAAAAAAAATCTTTTAATTAGATTTTAAAGTTTCTTTTGTTGCAAAAATCTTTTACTTTCCCATTCACCTTATTTTGTTCTATATACTATGTCTTCAGGGCATACATTAAAATTCAATCTTTTGTACAAACAAAAAAATAGTTCCTTAATAAAGGAATCAAAGAAAACTTTTCCTCTCAAAAATCGAACGAACCATTCCTGCCAGGGTGGAAAATTCAAATTATTCAGGTTCTCCATCCTTTTATTAATAAAATAACCGGTCCCATAATATAACAGTTTGCTCGCTAAGTACATAAAAGAAGGGGGAAGATTTTAAATGACTCGCTTCATCAAAGGTCTGGAACTGAATGAATTTTCATCAAAAACATTTACTTTTTCAGCAACAAAATGACACCTTCTTTTACACCCTGTAATTTTACTTTGCCAAAGAGAACTTTAATCATAGAGAGCGAACCTTAAGTTTTTGATAGCTGAAACTTTATTTGTTTAACGAGGAAAAAATCCTGAACGAAATAAAGAATAGCACTGATTTGCAGGTAGATTGAATAGCATAAATCAATTTAGAAATTTGCATTTTTATTATTTCTTTTATTATTAAGATGTTAAATTGAATATGTATAAAGTAAAAAAAAAAAAAGCATCGGTGTTTCATTAAAGATTTATTCTTTGCTCTTATTTTGTTTTTGATATTTTTACTGCTCGCATTTTGAATGTAAAAGAATAATTTTTAAATTTATTTGGGGTTCAATTAGCTGCATTTGAATTCCTTTATCCAGTTTTTGTTTAAAAATAAAATTTAAGATAGATATAATTTAGAAAGATAGAATTTAATTGAAAAATGTATTCTTTTTTATATATACACTTTAGATTATCCAAATATTTAGTTATATCTTAAAATTTAATTTCTTATAATTTGTTTGAGTGAGCGTAATAGGCTGATATTTAGAAACATCGTTATTTGTTTTTTCATGAGTTTTCTCTCGTACGATACTTAAATGCAAATACGTACGATACTTACAAATCGATCTCAATTTGGGTATTTGCACATCGTAATTGGTGTTGCAGGTTAGCGTCTGTTATGTTTGAGCGTGTTTTGTGTTCGCTCAATTTCATTTTAGAAAAAAAATATTCGCAGGTGTAAGTTGAATGAAAACCGCGAACAACTTTGACTAAAAGTCTGATTTGCTCTATCAACAAACAACCGTGCGTATCACTGAGGTCACTTAAAGCAAAACATAGAACCTGTTATATTAGATGTTCCCAGATGCTTGCGCATCGTGAAATCGCAGAATGTAATTTAATTATTCTGTGAACTTATAACTGTAAACTCATAAATAAACCAGGAAATATCTGTCCTATATTCACAAGGATATTATTTTAAAATCAAAGTTAATTTTTTCGCATCATTTCGACAGTTCATTTTTGAATATAGGGATGCACACAAAGTATTTTTTCACTACTTCACTTGTCTTCACTACTTTGGCCATTATAAATAAATATATTTTGTAAAATGTGATAAATCTCATTTGCCGGGAAAATATTATAGGAGGGCTGTGGATTGGCCACCCCTGAACTAATCATTAAAGGTTTGAAAACGAGCATTTAAAGTAATTCCAAGAGTTTTTAGCGAGTTAACGAAATTTCCAACCGATTTCCCTGAAATTTGGAATGGAAGGAGTTCTAATGAGGGAGAACTAATTGGAATGTTTTTCGTCTTGAATAAATAAATGAATTTCTAAAAAATTTTGAAGTCAAAGAACTGTAAGAAAATGAGAGATAGACATGCTGTCTGCATACAAGAAACATGGATGCATTATGTCTCTTAAAATGTATTTCCTGAAATGTCATTTGAATTTTTTTTCTTAAAAACTGTATCGTTTTCACCGAGATATTGTGAAAATTGAGAAATGATATCAAAGAAAATGGTCCATTACAATGTTTGCAGATAGTTTGTAAGCAGGATAGTTTTCAATAGATATGGATATTGGATAGTATTCAATGATGATTCTGAGAAAATGAATAAGAAATAATCCAAGCGAATTTAACATAGAAAAAACAGGTATATATGCGTTTGGTAATATTTAATAAATACATTTTAGTAATATACATTAAGTTATAAATATCAGCCTGACGGATGGAGCTCGGCACCACAGGCATCGGGTTCAAATCGCGGTGGTGCCATGGATGTTTGTAGTATGTCGGAATCCACTTTAAGCCGTATGCCCCGGTCTCATATGACCATAGAGCACCACAGAGCTCAATCAGACTTCTTCCCACCAACATCATTCCTGTACTATATAGGGGCAACTCAGCTCTAGGCACAGTCGTAGGGTGTGGTGTAGTAGTAGCAGTAGCCAATAGACAAGTATAAATCGCAGTCAAGTCAATTTGGGTTCCGGAAAATGCAGTGAAACGAACGTAGTTATATTTTTTTTATTATACTTCATATATTATACTTGCGTTTATTATACTTCATACGAAAATTTATGTTCAGAATGAACACGTTTAATTTTATGGCATCACGCCTGTGCAAAATAAGCATACCCCTAAATTTCTCTATAGTAGGACTCAAGATTCTCTATGGAGAAGAATGAACACACGTAAAAACACGTGTAAAGCACACTGGTAAAAAAAAACTTTCAAATGAGTTTCAGTTTTATTATCTATCCTGAACAGAATCAGATGTTAAAAATGGGTTAGATAAAATCTAAAAGATTTTTCATCAATAAAAATATATATTAAAATCTATACACATTTATATGTGCAGTGTGGGTATATTTTATTATACTTCATACAAAAAAAATTATGTTTAGAATGAACACGTTTAATGTAGAGACAGCAAGCCGGTGCAAAATAAACATACCCCCTAAATTTCTCTATAACATTACGCAAGATTCATTATGGAGGATGGGAGATACACGTAAAACACACTGGTTAAAAAAGGCTTTCAAAGGAGCTTATGATCTAATCTGAATAGAATCAGATGTTAAGAATGGATTAGATATAATGTAAAAGATTATCAATAATAGATGATAAACATCAATCAAAATAGATACTGATGTCTATACACATTTGTATTTGTAGCGCGGAATAATATTCTTTTAACTTCAGGTCTTTATTTGAAAAATCATCATCATCGGCGCACCAGCCCATTGGTGGGCCATGGCAGACAGAAGATGTTTCTTTTTAACGGTTAGGGTTGTCAGCCCTACGCCAAACACTGAACTGTCAAATTAGACCGTGGGCCTGATGGTCGAGTGGCTAGAGCTCTGGCACTCGGTACCACAGGTTTCGGGTTCAAATCCCGTTTGTAGTGTTTCAGAATTCACTTTCACAAGACCTACGGCTTGATCTGAAAGGAATTCACTTTCACAAGATCTACGGCTTAATCAGAAAGGAATGCACTTTCACATCAAGCCGTAGATCCCGATCTCATATGACAGTAGAGCTCCCCAGAGCCCGATCAGACTTCTCACATACATCATTCTCAAACTGTAAAGGGGCAACTCAGCTCTAAGCACACTGATGTGGTGTGGTGTGGTGTGGTGTAGGAGCAGTAGTCATATTAGTCCGGGACCTATGATTTAAAGTAGATTCCGAACCCCTACAAACATCAGTTGGCACCTTCGGGATTTAAACCCGAAGCCTGAGGCACCGAGAACCAGAGTGCCAGTCACTCAGCTGTCAGACCCCTAACAATAATTCCCGTCCGAACAGTGACTCGAATCCTGGACATTTAGGTTAAAAGCCTAACGCTGTACCGACTGAGCTATGCAGGCTTTATTTGAAAACTATTGCTTCTTAATTCCAATTTTTAAGAAAATTTTAAGATTGGGGTATGGATTAAATTTTCAGTTAGAGTGAAAAAAAGATTTTTTAAACATCCCTGAGAAACAAATTTACTTCACAAACCGCAGTGCGATTCTACGCAGATTTAATATTTTTGATGTCTTGAAAGATTTTCCAACTGTTTGCGAAAGATTTTTATTTTACAGCTTACTAAATAGCCCTTCTGCTTTGTCTCTTTATTCACTAAAATCTATAGAAGCCTCCATTCATTCCATCGAACGCCCGACTGGCATGTCAACTCCAGATGACATTCCCCAAGACGAAGGCACCCCCTTCTTCTCCCCCCTCTTGCACTATAATGTGTCCTCCACATCGTCAGTCCTTTCCATGGTGTCATCTCCACATGTCCATAATGTGGCGTCCCCGGATGTTTTCATTGTGGAAAAACCGTATGGAAATATGGCTGTCATCTTTTCCCAAGAATCGTTTACCACATCATGGTAGTTCTTTTATAGTATAGTTAATATTTTTTAATTCTATTAGTTCACAAACAAACTTGTATTTCGTCAGTATATTTTATTGACAATTTAAAGCCCTTCGTGGAAAATATAAGCAATGAATATTTTCCGTACGGATTTTCTTGCACAAATATTATTAATACAACTTTTTCCCCTGGCATCTAATATTATTTTGGTTTGGTTTGCTGTTCTACGTTCATCTTATGCACACGAGCACTAAACAGACCGGGAACCTACAAATATATTATATATTAATATATTTGTAGGTATAATATATTCCGAACCACTCATAAACATCCATGCCACCGCCAGGACTTGAACATAAAGCCTGGGATACCAAAGGCCAGAGGACTAGCCACTTGGCCAGCAGACCGCTCTAATATTGGAACGCTGGCATCGTTAATTAATAAAATGTACTAAATGTAGAATTTTACATTTAGATTAAGAGTCGGGTGTCCTATTGAATAGCAAGTTGGATTCCCAAATTGAGCATCTGGGTTCGAAACCCGACACGCGTGGCTGCAACAATATCTTTAAGCCATCATGACGTGGATGGGCATGATAAATAATTGAAAGTTGGCATCGATCAAAGAGTAGAGTGTGAACGTATAGAGCTTGTATCTGGGGGTTATCGTTCCAATTGCATGGGAAGAAAATATATTTGCCACTCATGGGACATCCTGGGGTTAAACTGAATCTGTTATATATTTACCGTTTTAGTTCAGAATGTCCAGGGGAAAAGTATCTTCAGCTACAACATTGTTATTGTGACTAATCCTCAGTGTCTGGCATCATGGTATATTTAAACCATGAATATTTATTCAAGAATCGAAGGAAAGGGGGCAGCTTCTGCTGTGACGGAGCACCCGTAGGTAGAAGTCCGACTTGGCTCCAAGTCACTGAAGAAGGATGGATCATTTGCGTATCTTATGGGAGAAATCCGAGAAAACTCCCACTCCCATCAATGTTTAGACTGAAGATCAATGTTTAGACTTAGAGGCTGAACACCACAAACGCCACCGAGTCTTTTCGTTTTGGAAACAATGTCTACAACAATGCTGCCAGAGGATTGAACACCACTGAGCCATGAAGCGGGTCAGCAGCAATGTTCAGATTGATATTTATTCTGTATTAAATATTAAAAGCATTAATCCATTTTTTTCGAATTGTAATTGAAAATTTTACGTATTTGCAGTCCTTTATAGATGTAATTTCGGGATATCGGAATATTTTTAAAATTTATTTTTTATTAAAACAACTTGTCTGGTACAAAAAAAAATTCACAGTCTGCGAGATTTTCCAAATTTCTTTTTATTTTACTAAAAGTTGGCTCCGATTATTTTCTAAACCCCAAATGCAAATTCTGAGTACGATTTAGGTTAAATAAATATGCGCAAGATCAGTCTGCAGCTTCGCTCAGAAGAAAACTATAACAAAATTTAAAAATGCATAAAGATCTTACGGAAATTCTGTAAAACTGGCAAATTTGTATAATCTAATAAATTAAATAATAAACATGTAATATAAAAAAAAAAATTAAGTCAATTCCTACTTTTTTTTCAATGTATTGCAGAAAGTCCTTTATAAATAATTTTCATTCATTTTTAAGTATATCTGGCGCCATCAATTGGTAGATACATGCAACTTAAATCTAAAAAAACTAAAATTAATTAATTAAATTTAATTACTGAATTAATATTTGAAAAAACTGTATTAACATCCAGTGTCATCCACTACAAGTTCAAAAAAATGTATTTCAACTTGAGTGGAGGAATAAAAATTATTTTATGAACGATTGAAAATTTGAACAAGATATATATAGGGAGAGTGTGAGCTAATAGAAGGAATTGAAAAAACTAATAAATAATCTAAATCAAGTATAAGCTAATGATTTGTATAATCTACTAAAAATAATATATTTTAGTTGATAAAAAGTTTAGTTAATAAAAATAGGCAGTATAATCTAATTAAAAAACATATAAAAAATAATATTCAGGCTTATCTAAAGTATAAAATAATATAATATATATGTATATTCTATTAAAAAACCCTAATGTAAAAAAAATAAAGTATGTATATATATATAATTGAAGTAAAAAAAAAACTGCTTCATTTGTATCGACATTCATTCAGTGTTAATTTTGAACATGTACTAATAATAATCCAAAGATGACAATGCGAATTATTCAACAATGGTGTATCACAGCAATATATATTTTGGGTTTGTACTATTTTCATGCTTTTTGTCTGGAAAAGAAACGAACATTATTCGTGAAAAAGATTATGTGCTTCAATATTTACAGATGATGCTACTCTTTGTAACTAATTTAGAAGTGTTTAAAAAAATGACAATTTGCTGCATTACTTTACAAGAGACCATGAACTAAAAAGGAAAAATACATAAATAAGTAAAAAACATTGTTCATTAAAATAGGGCAAAACATTTTAGTTATTGACGCATACCTAATTTTTTTCAAAAACACATAATAAATTTTGTTGAAATTTTTTTCTCTGAAATTAAAACAACCATTCATTACCGATTTTAAGCTACTGATCACGAAAATGAACATTTGAAGTTGGTTTCCGTTCTAAAGATATTCATAACTTTTTTTCCCTAATGCATCTGACAAATACTTAGACAGTTATCTTTTATGCTTTAAGACAAGCGCTGCACCGACGTTACTCACTTAGCACTACCCAGGAGGTGCGTGTACCTTGAAGACTAGCTATGGACATGGATTAACACTACCTCCGCAGCGCTCTACGATCTTGTTAGACTGGGACCTACGGTTTACAGTGGATTCCAACCACTACAAACATCCATGGCCCGACTGGGACTCGAACGCGAAACCTGTCGTACCGAGCGTACAGCGTTAGCCACTCGACCATCAGGCCCCTATAAACGCAAAAATAATTGGAATTAAAAAATATAACTACGTTCTTTTCATTGCATTTTCCAGAACCCAAATTGACTTGACTGCGATTTATGCTTATCAATTGGCTGCTTTACCTAGAATAACCAAATTGAGGCTTAATAAAAAAAAAATTTTTAATAGACAAATAACATACAAATTCGTAAGTCACAATCAACATTCAACATATATACAAAGCATAAGAGAACCTAAAAAAGAAATTTCCTCTACAAACACTCAAATATCTAAAGATCAAACGAAACACACTCCCAAAATCCCTCGCAAGCTCTGTTGATTAAAAATTATAGCTAAAAGAATAGCAAGGAATAGAACAAAAAAACACTTTACGGCCTTAATTATTTGCTTCCAATTATCTTGATTAATAACATTCTATTCAATAGTTAGATCAATAAGAGAAACTACGAAAAACTAGTGAACCATTAATAAATTACACTGGTTAAGTATTAAACTCATGAATAAATTAAGAAGAAATGGAATAAAAAGATATAAAGGCATATAGTAGATAGCGAACTTGTTGCAAGAAACCCAATACTGTTTTAGTTTCTTGATATGCCTCGTTAGGTAAATAAAAAAATCCAAAAGAATGATAGTAATATTGACGTAAGAATTAACCTGGAGCCCCACTGTATCTTATATTGATAAAGTTAAATTGTATTTGTTACTTATTATTACTTATTTATTCCTTACTTATTTAATGTACTTAGTTATTTAATTATCATTTAGTCACTTTAATTTTTATTATTATTTAATTATCATTTAGTCACTTTAGTTTTTCTTAGGTATTTAATTATCATTTAGTCACTTTAGTTTTTCTTAGTTATTTAATTATCATTTAGTCACTTTAGTTTTTTCTTAGTTATTTAATTATCATTTAGTCACTTTAGTTTTTCTTAGTTATTTAATTATCATTTATTCACTTTAGTTTTTTCTTAGTTATTTAATTATCATTTAGTCACTTTAGTTTTTTCTTAGTTATTTAATTATCATTTAGTCACTTTAGTTTTTCTTAGTTATTTAATTATCATTTATTCACTTTAGTTTTTCTTAGTTATTTAATTATCATTTATTCACTTTAGTTTTTCTTAGTTATTTAATTATCATTTAGTCACTTTAGTTTATCTCAATTATTTAATTGTCATTACTAATTATTTTATTATAATAATTATTTTATTATGTGTGGGTTGGAATATCCCTACTATAGCCCATGAATGTCGTAAAACGTGATTAAAATGGGCTCCCATTGCCTGGGGATATAGCGGGGGTGGGGTAAAGTCAGACTTCTTATGGGTGCAAAATGTCTTTGAGCCGCAAGGACAAAAATGCTTTATTTTTCTACTTTTTTTCATGACTCGGCTACGTGGGCTCATGGACTTGGTCGAGATGTTGCTGTCTACTAAGTGAGATGAGAAACAACACTTATATAATTAGATCAATTTTTTACTTATTATTGTTTTTACTTATTTAATTAGAATTTATTCTACTCCAAATAAAAATAATTTGCTAATCAAAGAAAGAAACAAATCTGTAATAAAATTACTT